GCCATTGAGTCGTTGGAGGTCTGATAGAGAGGGACAGGGACAGAGAAGAGGGAATTTCTGGGATTGTGGATTAAGAAAAACGTGGAGTGTTAGCCAAAGACTCTTCAGAGTTCCTTGAATTTATCAGGTCTTTATCTCAAATTATGATTCTCGAGTTTTTATTATACTCGAACAATTTATGTAAAGATAGGTGATATTTAGATAATTGTTTTACATATTAATGTTATAGCATAATTAAATATCTACTCAGCAGAAGATACTCTAATATTTTCAAAGGTAATAAAGGATAATTTTATGTTTTCTATACAGAAAAGGTCATGACACTCATGAAGTATGGAGAACAGTCATGAAGTATTTCCTTACAACAATACAGATGATTCAAGCACTCACCTGTATTTCTAGCACTGGGAAAGCAGAGAAAGGAAGATCAGGAATTAAGGAGTTAAAAGCCACCCTCAGCTATATGGCATGTTCAAAACCAGTCTGTGAGCTACACGAGGGCCTGTCTCAAGACACACAAAACCAAAAAACAAAACAAGAAATAAGCTGGGGGGCTGGAGAGATGGCTCAGAGGTTAAGAGCATTGTCTGCTCTTCCAGAGGTCCTGAGTTCAATTCCCAGCAACCACATGATGGCTCACAACCATCTGTAATGGGGTCTGGTGCCCTCTCCTGGCCTGCAGGAATACACACAGACAGAATATTGTATACGAAAGAAAGAAAGAAAGAAAGAAAGAAAGAAAGAAAGAAAGAAAGAAAGAAAGAAAGAAAGAAAAAAATAAGCTGGGTGTGGTGACACACACCGAAATCCCAGTAGTCAGGAAACTGAGGCAGGATGAACTGCAAATTTGGTGCTAGCCGGGACTTCATAATTCGTCAGCTGAGTTACCTAGGAACGTGTTTCAAAAACCAAAACAAGCCGAACGGTGGTGGTGCATGCCTTTAATCCAAGCTCTCGGGAAGCAGAGGCAGGAGGATCTCTGTGAGCTCTAAGCCAGCCTAGTCTACAAGGGCTAGTTCCAGAGAAGGCTTCAAAGCTACAGAGAAACCCTGTCTCGAAAAACAAAACAACAAAAGAACAAACAAGTAAAAATACAGAGTCAGAGAAAGTATTTGATGTTATAAGAGAATTAATATTTATTATATGTGAATTTTGTGCTTGATCAAAAAGACTTCAGTTTCAGACCTTCATAGGTACTGTTGGCTCAACAACTTTATCCTGGTGACTGGTTGTTCCGACCGCGCCAGGAGGGGGAGCTCCTGTAGCTCAGCCAAGCAATCAAGAGGCGACCAGGGGAATTCTGAGGTCAGGTTCCCAGCAACATTGCCTCATCTAGATTCTCCCTAGCCAGTTCTGGCGCCACAAGTTCCATTGAGGACGAACAGTGGTGGCAGGTTTTCTAAATGCTACAGTCTCATGGCGAGGGGCGAGGGTGGGGAGGTGGGGAAAATCACGATCTGCTCAAGAAAGCCGCAGTCAGCTTTCTAGGTAGCTCAGAACTAGGTAGGGTAAACTTGACCATTCACTTAGAGCCCTCTTCAGGAACTCTGAACTTTTGATACAGCTAGGGGTTCTGCGAGTCTGTCAATCCCATCCGGGTCTTGACCACAGCTGGTGAGAAGTACCGAGAACGTCTGATCTAGGAGACGCTGACAAGGACATACTGCGAGTCAAGTAGCTAAGTCACAGTGGGCAGCGCAGGACATCATCACTAAGATTCCTTAGTGGGTCTTCTGGATCTGGAAGCTCACTCTTAGGCCCAGAGAGGAGTTTCTCACCTCAAACTGCGCCAAGTTCGGCGCGGACTACAGATCCCACTGCATGCACCACTTTCACGCAGATTAATGTCATTCTTGCCAGGACTTCTGCAACTGTGCAATTATCCGCCGCATTCCAGAATCTAGAACTTCAAGTTCCGAATCGATGATAACTGTGGCAGTGCTATTCGGCCTTCGGGAATTTGTTTGTTTGTTTGTGTGCTGATAAATTAGTATCCCGTATTGCCTGCAATGCAACACAATCAAGGCACACAATATTTCTATCTCCCCCAAAAGTTCTTCTGTATTCTACCTATGATAATGTCCAGAAGAAGCCGACTACTCTTTGAATTGCTGCTTAATTTATTTCATAAGAGAGCATAAGAACTTTCTTAGATTTCGTTTAACAATTGTACTAGAAGTAGTAGAACAGTGTAAAAGAGTTTCTCTATTTTTATTTAGTTTAGAGTTTGGGGAGGTTAAAGGACATGTTGATGACAGGACACAGCTCTTATTAGGACCTCACGCCTGATTGCTCAGCATGGGAGAACTATATGCAGAAATTCCATCACCAGATGAGAATGTAGAGAACAGCTGTGGACCAATGATGTAATTTCATCTTAGAGTTCACTACCAAAGATCTCACCCTAACGCTAGATCTCACCCTCCACAACTATCTCTTTCCCCTCTCTCTTAAATTCCTAAGTGGGCCCAGAATCAGTTTTTGTTAAGCTCAAAATAATCTACCTATTATCCAATTACCCTTTTTTGTCAAAGAAGATCTCTGAGCCTATAAAATTTCCACCCAACCTGCAACCCTATACCAGTTATAATCACCCCGAATTGATGTCCCTACCTAACCCTCAGGACAAATTTTTTTGGGAGAGGGCACATCGTCTTCTAGAATTACTTCCAGATGTCATGCGGGGGGGGGGGGGGGGG